ATCCTTCTCAAGAATCCTCTGGAAACTCTGAGCACCAAATCTTTTTCAGTCTTTTTCTGCAAGACTGATGTCAAGAATTGATTTCTTGATTTCTTTCTTCTGTGAAGATCAAATCTTGCCAGAAGGAATGGCGGCGGCTGGAGGAGAACTCCTGGGATGAAGATGGCTGAATTGCTTCTCTTCTCTCTGGAGTGTGAATGAGATCTAATCTCAGTTCGCAGGTTGCTTTCTTGCTTACAACCCTTGGTTCGAAATCTGATATTTCTCTCTTAGGGTTTCTCCTCTTTTCTTCTTGATTAAGAAACCTCCTAATTAGGAGTTATCCAAATCAGTATTTGGATAGAGGATTATCTTAATCCCATCTGCAGATTAAGTTAGYTTACTCCTGATCTTATCAGGAGGTTACCAGATTCAAATCTGATTTGAATTTGGTCTCTCAGAGTGGATAAGGTTAAACGCCCAATCCTTTTGCAAACATTAATCTCAGATCCGCCCCATAGAAGCATGCCTGATTCCTTTCCTTTATCAATACCCACTGATTTGGAAATCTTGACAGGCAACTTTGATATAACATCAATGTTCTGTTCCTCCTGTGCTTCTTTGTCTGGGTTAGTAACAAGATCTGACACTCCTTTATTAATATCTTGACGTTGTGCCTCCCCTGGGAGTTCTCCATCTTCCCTTTTGATTGAAACTGAGTTCGCCACTAAAACTGGGGCAGGACTATCATTGGATTCTTCTCTTGGAGCCATGCTGGTGTATGTAGAGGGGTCTTCGAACAACAACTCTGTTCCTAGCATTTCACCGTCTCACAAGATGCACGTTTTAGCAGTGTTGACACTTCCGATACTATCTTCTAGCTCCGATTGATACACCTCTTGCCTTAGGTCTTCCCAACTTCCCAATCGCTTTCCTCTTCAGATTCGTCGCTCTCGTGCCCATTAAATTTCGGATTGGGCTTATCGGGAGATGTTGAGTTGTTCGTCCGCACCGGCATCCATACCCATGTGGTGGCGCCTCCTTTTCCGGCACCCCCAGGAGCTTTAGAAGTGGCTCTGCAACTCTGCGTCAAAATCACGGCCGAGGGGGGGGGGCGAGCGTCAGGGGTCGAACAAGATGATGATAGACCCCTGATACTGTCCACCAACTTTTGGGCTGATCTGCACGTCTGAGCCCTTGGTTCGCTCGGTTCCCCATCGGTTTCACTAATGGTGCGGGTTTAAACTTTAATGACATTTTACCGCCTCTTCTAGCTGTCACCTCCCTGAAGGATCTTTGACAGGCCATACGTGCATTAATTGACAACTCAGATTTAGAGTCACATGCACCCCCGGGTCGACCTAGAGGCTCGAAAATCCTGGGCCTGGTTTAAACTCGTAATGTTTTTATTGCTGACCCACACCAGCCCCGACCTCCTGGCTATGTCTGCGTATGATGGTCCGACCACCTGACTTTTAAACTTAATATTTTTTGAATTCTTTTCTCTTTCAAGGTGGCCGCCCAATACTTCCTTGGGACTCGACTCTTCCTCTTCCCAAAAAAGTTCTCCCTTTTCCTTTCCTTCTCCCACTATATTTCTGCCACGTGTGCTTCCTTCCTCCATGCCACCTTCGTCTTCCTCCTTCGAACAACTCCTCCACAAAGACACTTTCTCTTCCGTCAGTACCCAAATCTTCCTCAATAGTTCCTCCAAGAAGATAGTCACCAAGCGGGGCACCTCCTCCGGCTTGATCCCGCAGATTCTTACTTTGATCGTTGTCATGTCACTGAAGCTGTATTTCTCCATCAAGCCACCCAATGTGTGGATTATTTTCTCTACTGTCGACTTATTCCAGAAGTTGAAAGGCACCCCAACAAGCTTAATGTTGAAACAACCTACTGTAATATCTCGCTCATTACAAGACATACACCATTCTTTGATGACGATCAACCTTTCCTGGGTTTCGATAGAAGAAAGTTCTATCTTTGCTTCCCATGTGTCGAGAATGGCTCTGTTTTCACTAAACGGTACCACAAGAATAGGTTTTTTTGATGCTAAAAATCTTCACTATTTCCTCTGCAACGAGCTGCCAGTCATTAATCTTTTTTCCAGCTATCAACACAAATCTGTTCTTCCATTTCTGTTTATCTACTTTCAACTCCAGCTTACTTAATTTAACAGAGCAAGCTACTGACATATTTAGTCTCTGTTCCTCCATTGCCTTCTGAGTTATTTGCTCTCCCTTGCCTACCATATCACTCTCACTCTCCCCCAACTCTGCTTTCTCCTTTAAAGTCTTTTGCTGAACCTTTTCATTTGTCTCCGTCAATACTAGGTATTCCTGTAGCTTTTCTGCAAAACACTTCCAACCTGTCTTCCTATTTCCTTCCGGGATATACACAAACTTCCTTATTGCCTTCCCCAAAACATTCTGTTATCACCATAAACCACCCCTTTCTGTTGTTTCTTAGTTCAGCTATAAAGTTCTTCCTTTCCATATTCAACTGACCTTTCCATCCAACTTCTTTCTTGCTGTAAGTAACTCCATCCACAAAACCCTTCACCCGAATCACTGCATCTCTGCAAAGAAAAATAGTTGTTTTTTTCTCTTCCCTGATCTTCAGGCACACCTGTCCCTTGTTTCTACAAGCTTCAAACACATGCTTTTTGGCTTCGAACTCCAGCTCTCTTCTCCATGTTGTCACTGGCTTGAACTCCATAGCTCCTCCTCCTTTCAATATGGGGTGTATTGTATTAGTATCGGGGGGGGGGGGTATGTTGCATACTACAATTTGGCACATAACCTCCGATTTGTCAGTATCCTATGCCTTTGTATCAGTTCATATTGTGTTATTTCTGTGATGAGGATTGCTATGATTGAGAATCCTGTTGATATGTTGACAAAGCCTCTCCTTGTTGCTAAGTTGAAGCCAAGGTTCAAAATTTTGTTATGTATTGGGCCTTATCTGCTCGATATGCCAAATGTGCATCTCTTGGGGGTTTAATCCATTTCAAGGGGTAGGCAAGCCTAAGACCTGCAAAAAGAGTGTGGTACAAAGTACCAATACATCCCTTCCATTGTATCGGGATGTATCGATACTTTGTACCTTGGTTCAAGCATTACTTGGATTTGATTGGTGTCTGCAACACTTGAAATATACCCCTTGAGGGCCTATGTGGTGAAGGTAGAGAGAGCCTTTTATTCTTGTATGGCTTGGTGGAATTCAAGCCAAGTTTGTGCCTTGAATTCTTGTTTTGCAGCCCACTCCATGACCCAACCTAACATTTGTGGAGGAGTCCCAAGGGGAAATTCCATTGAGGTCTGTGGTGGATGTGGAGGGCTTGGGCTGGTGCGGGGTGGAGCCCCATGTACCCAACCCATTTCGTATATGGATCCCATATATATTTCGTGAGAGAGAAAGCTTTGGGGGCATATTGGGTGTACATGGAGTTAGGGTTTGTGTAGGATGCACAAACTTATACTTGATTTTTGACTAATTGGATTTCTCCTCCTCCTGTGGACATAGGAAAAGGGCTGAACCATGTTAAATCTCTATGTGCTCTTAAGTTAATCTGTTTTTGTTTCTTTTCTGTTTGACTGTTACTTTATTTGCCAATCAATTTAGGTCTTGGGTTTGTCATAACGAGAACCAATTTTTCAGTTTCTTTACTGTATTGTTCTTATTAAATTTGAGATTTACTAGCTTTACTTGTTAAAGATAGTTTAGTTATTTGTTTTCTTTACACTGCAATACCCATAGACACTCTTTATTCTAATTATAGTTTTTCTCTTTTAATTCTTTTAATGGAATGGCAGATAAACAAACTGTTGGATATTGCTCGATCTGTTGCAAGTATAAACACTAATGACTATAGTACATTAGAATACCTGGTGTACCGCCTAGAGGACCTGAAATATGCTATCCAAGATAGGAAGGTGGATGCCCTTATTGTTGAAACATTTGGAAGGCGGATAGAGAAACTGCTACAGTGAGTACAATTCTTAATTCTAATACAACACTAAAATGTCATTGATGAAATATAACTGTAAAATGTATTTCCTGGTTTATAGAATAGTGAAGCATATTACTTTATTATTGTATTTCTAATATTTCAATACATTGTTTTTTATTTATGAAAAGACCTATTGCTGGTGCTTTTGTACTCCTCCCTCATTGATTCGTTTTTTTTTATTCAATCTAATAGCCCTTTATTTCTATTTCATCCAACATGTTCCCCAATTACACAGGGAAAAATATGTACATCTTTGTGCACAGATAGAAGATGAAAAAGCTGATTCATCGAAGGTCTTGATTGATGAACATGGTTCATTAGAAGATGATCCAATTCGTAGCTTGCGTGCAAGTTCCATAAATCCAAATAGTAAGGACCGAACATCTATAGAAGATTTTGAAATTATAAAACCAATTAGCAGAGGGGCATTTGGACGTGTTTTCCTTGCAAGGAAAAGAGCAACCGGTGACTTATTTGCTATAAAGGTAAGATTCTATATATGGGTTACATTCCAACTTGTAGTAGTAGAAACAAATTAATTACCAATCATTAATGTTAATCTTTTCCTTTGAAGTCTTCTATTTCTTTTTTCAAATGGTAGATGTTAGTTTAGAATTTTATGGATCTTTTGGTATTCATTTTGGAATTTGATTGTAATGATTTTGATACACTTGATGTATCTATATATGATTGCAAATTATGCTAACCACTGCATTCTCCTATATTCTTCTTTTGTATATATGATTCTAGTAATGAACATGGTTAGAGATTTTGATATTAATAGAACTATTGAATTGCTGTGTTACCCAGACATAATAAGGACACAGTCACACAGCTGGATATGTTAGATACAAAAATTAAACTAAAAATTCAAGTATCTGACATGGTACAATGCCCTTGTTTAGATATCCTGGTATCTAGTTCAATTGGATTTTGTAAAAAAAAGATTAATAAGATATAAATTCTCAATGAGACAGAAATACAAGAGAAGGTTAAGCAACTTGATGTGGACAAGAAAACAAGTTATATGCAACATGTTAAAAGGCTGTTTATAGGCAAACGTCTTTTGTTTTTATTTCTGTTCAGTATCACAGGGGTACTATTGTAATTCCCCCTCTTTTATATTATGTTATGGTTGCCCTAATATAAATACCAAAAAGCTGGCACCGCCAGCACTGAGTTTTGCTCACAGATCTCTCTTCTCTCTTCTCTTCACTTTCTCTTCTGGATAATATGGTATCAGAATGGGCCCATTTGATCTAAAAGGAGATCGAGAAAGCACTCTTTTGTCTTCTCCCTTCACTTGCTGCTGAATTTTTTCTCTGAAGAACCAAGGTAGATCTTTGGACTGATCTCAGAAGCTTCTCTCTCTCTTTTTTTTTTTAATTTTATTTTTTTCCTGATCATGTATCAGGACAGAACCAAAACAAGGGGATCGATCAACTGATGTGAGGTGATCAGCACCTGTACCTTCCTTTTTTGTAGGATCGAGTGATCCTTGTGGTGGTTGTAGGTCGGAGGTGACCTGTATGTGCTGTGACAGCAGCTTTGTGGCTTGTTTGTAGGTCGGAGATGACCTGTGTGTGCTGTGACAGCAGTCCGGTGGTTAGTGTGTAGATCGGTGATGACCTGTAGGTGTCGTAATAGCAGTAAAACATTTTTTTGGTGATTGAAGGACTGTGCTCGAACTAAAAGGTGGCTGTCTCTAGTTTCCTGGTGCAAATTATTTTTTTTTTTTCAGAAATAATACATTGTGTGAAAGGGAAACAGGTTGGACTGTATTTTTTTCTAGTTTTTTTGGAACTCTTTTGAGTGTGATTTGAACCAGTTATCATGAATAGTGAAGATTCTACCACATCTGGTGTTTCTTCAATATGGAATGACCTGAGTGGGGGTATGGATTTATCCTTCCCAATGGATGTCATACCTCTTGATGGTCTCAATTACTTAGATGGTCGAAGGGGATTAAGTTATACATTATTGCAAGGGGAAAGATAGGATATATAAATGGAAGAATTAAAGAACCTAATTCTGGGAGTGCTGAACATGACACTTGACAGATGGAACCAGGAAAACAACATGGTAATGTCATGGATCTTAGTGTCTATGCAACCTTAGGTGAGAAGAAATTTTATGTGGGCTGAAATAGCTTATGAGATTTGGGAACAAGAAAGGTCAACCATATTCTGAATTGTGCCATTATGCAAAGAATCTGTCAGTTACAAGTAGAATCCTCTACTTGTAAACAGGGGGAGAGGAATCTCTTTGTGTACTATTCAGACTTGTCTTCCATCTGGAAGGAGTTGGATGACTATCAGAGTGTAGATTGGAAGTGTGATGAAGATGCCAAAGCGTACAAGTCTCTTGTTTCACAGCAGCGAGTCTTTGCCTTTCTCCTTGGCTTGGACCCTATGTATGAATCCATTAGAGTACAGATCCTTGGAAGCAAGGATCTCCCATTTGTCCAAGAGGTATATGCTCTAGTACAGTCAGAGGAAAGTAGAAGAAATCTGATGAATAAGGGCCCGTTTGGCGCGTCTTTCCGCGCGGTCTTTCGGCTGTTTACAAGCCGGGAAGACCGATTTTTGGTCTATTCCCGTTTGCTTCGCAGAAGATCTAGCCGACAAAAGAAGGTGCGCCGAAAAGATGCGAGAAGCCCATTTCGGGCTGATTATTTGAAGCTTCCCACGTCTTTCGCATTTTAATCTCGTATGGAAGGATGTGGGCAGATGCAACGAAAAACACGCGTCTGCCAAACTGCCATCGGGCTGCTCAGATTTTATGTCAAAAGCTCAATGTGTCTTTTGACTGTCAGAGCTACAAGATCTTCTCTAAAGGACGTGCCAAACGGGCCCTAATTCTGGGGGAGATCAGAGATGCAGTCGTGTTGGCAGCGAAAGGAAGTGTTGTTACAGGTGGGGGAAATCCCTTTAAGAATGGTGACTCTCAAAAAAGGGTGGATGACAAAGAAAAATTATGGTGCACCCATTGCTAGAAGTCTAGGCACACTCGTGACACATGCTGGGATCTTCATAGGAAGCCGAAATGGGCTTAGGAATTAAGTAAGAAACAGGGTTCTGATCTGAATAAGAAGTTAGAATAGCAAGGTTCAAGAAAGCTCACTACAACAAACATGGCTACTTAGGAGAACTACCCCCTGACTACTATTGCAGCTTAGACATACACCTCTAGTTTTGACCCTAAGGAGGATATCATTAATTCCTTCCATGACCATTTAGAACTTTATGGTAGGGCAATTCGTCAGATGGATTCTCCTCCTCCATCATATGCGTCTACATCAGGTAAATCTACCACAACTCTCCATGTATCGTTTCATTCCCTTGACTCTCCTTGGATAATTGATTCAAGAGCGTCAAAACATATGACTGGTAAGTCTACTTACTTTTAGACCTATCATCTTCTCTCTGGAAGAGACAAAGTGAGACTGGCTGATGGTTCATTCTCTACCATATCTGGTCAATGAACCATTTCTCTTCCTTTTGGTTCTACTCTTTCTAATGTTTTACATGTGGACTCTTTCTAATGTTTTACATGTTTCATAATTCCCTATTAATTTGTTTTTTGTTAGTATTATCACCAATTCATTAAATTGTTTAGTAACCATCTTCCCTTCTTATTGTGTGATTTAGGATTTGGCCTCGGGGAAGATGATTGGTAGAGGATGTATGGTGGATGGTGTCTACTTGTTGGAGAATAAGGCTGGTCTTGCAGTCAAAGAGTCAGTCTAGTAAGAGTTAGGCCTATTTAAGGCACATTCGTCTTAGTCATTTATCCTTCGATTCCTTAAAAATTGTGTTTCCAAAGTTGTTTAAGTCAGTGTTAGAGTTGATATGTCAAACTTGTCAGTTGAGTAAACATTGTAGAACTCATTTTTCTTCAAAGAATAATGAATCTAAATTTCCTTTCCATATTGTTTATTTTGATGTTTGGGGCCCAGTAACTTTATGTTATGTCCCAGAAACTTCACACACAATTCTCAGACTCACAGCAGAATTCACACAACTCGAACATCAACAAAAGAAATTGGTATTCATTTAGAAGAAAACATTAACAGTTGGTCGGTTCTTCGAGAGACCGCCGGCTCTCCCAATCACTCACAGTATTCTTCACTCAAAAAAAAGCATACCTCCCCCCATCCCCCAAAGCCCCTTCTTATACTCTTCTCACAACATAACTGACTCCCTCTATAAATGCCCAGCTGGCCAAGTTATAAATGCCCAACACTCTTCTTATTCCTAACTGACATAGCTATAAATGCCTCAAGACTCTCCTTATTCCTTTCAGCTATAATTGCCCCCATGTGTTCAATTGTTCAATTATTTCCCCCCTTAGCCGATTGTTGA